ATCCACACCGTGTCACAGGGCTGGTCACAGCCTCAACGCCGTTTAGCGAGAGCGAGGTAGATACTGAGTGGTACTGGTACAAATACGTACAGCGTACGAAAACGAGAAATCTATTTCTATAAACATACAGGTGATCAAGGGGGGAATTAATTTGATATAATCAATCGGTTGACTCCAACCTGGTGGTGAGGAGCGAATGAGGAATATTTCTGGATAGGAACTATCAGCAACGACAGCTGGATACTTGAGAAAAATGCCTACCAGCACTCTCAATCGCTATCTTCAGACCTGTCAGAGTCCGAGGATACGGCTCCCTGGGGTCTGCTGTACCTGGGGCACGTTGCGCACCAGTAGCTATACCCTCCGGCAAACATTTTCATCGTATCGATATACCTCCTCAGTCCCCACGACATGCTACCTTCGTGCAAGCTGAGGAGCTTTTGCATTTTCGATTCCTCTCCTACAATCAGTTTCTTCACTTCAGCCTGTGCCTGCCTCTCGGACCACCTATATTGCTTGAGGAGCACCGCTACAGCGTTCCGAATACGATCGGCGCCTTCCAGCTTGAATTCCAACTTCTCCTTGTTCCACGAGTAGTAGTCATTGACGAGGCCAACAATTACGCCGATGGAATACTTGAAAGCATCTAAAGCATCCGAATTGGCTTCTCCGTCTGACAGGTCCACGGCGATGGCCCACAAGAATAGCTGTGAGACAAATCTAGAGTGTTTTGTCAGGAACCACTACGAATACTCATAGAACGGAAGACCTTACTCATAGTCAAAGTTCACCAAGCGATACGGTAGATACTCCTCAATGGTACTGAATTCGACTGAACTGCTATCACGATCCCGAAGACTCTGGTTCAGTATCGAAAGCAGAGACGGGCTGCGGATGGGGTCGATAGCCAATAATTCCGACCTGATATCCCGGAGGAAGGAGATCCATTCTAGTCGGGTGTTTTCGGTTGTGTGAACCACCTCGTCGCCACGAAGCGCCTTACAGAGTATCTCATGCTCGACGACTGCTTCGTTGTGAGGTAGCTCTTCCAGCACGTCTGTGAATACATAGTCAATGTCAACCACACTGTGAAGAGGCTCATAACATACCGTCGATGATACACAAGAACTCGATGAGTCTGACGACGAACGCGACTCTTTCGATTTCGCAGCCGCCGCACATGAGGCCAAAGAGGTTACCTGCAGGGTTATCATGCCTGTACAGGGCCTTTTTGCGCTCCTTGGTTTCGGGTTGAGTGCAGCGGTGGATAGTGTCGTGCAACGCCTGTTCAATGACACTGCCAGCCTCGTCCCAGCAATCTTTGACAGGAAGAGAGCTGAAGAACGAGGAGCATCGGCCACCGTCGATGGTAGTCAAAGTTGAGATGTAGACCATGATGAGAAAATTTGGTTGTGACAGGAGGTGAAGAGGAGGTTAAAGCTTGCGAGAATCCTAGGGGTTTGAGATCGCTGGGTGAGGATCTGCGATGAGGTAGGTGTAGGTTATATACGAAGAGTCAATGGATTCATAAGGAAGGCACAGCTGAGGCACGGATACAGGTGTATGACAAAGGGCGCCTTTACTGTTCAATCAGTTGTTCACACCCGAAACACGGTCTAGTAACTTCCTAGTTCCACGGATGAGTTGGCACTCTGAATGCAAAGATATCAAACTAAGTGACATACCTCATGAGAAGGCGATAACGCCATTGCCGTAGAAAGATATGTATACCAGCAGGAACCGGAGATTGACAATTGACGCGCACCTGACCGGTGGAGGTCGGAAAGAACTTGTCGGCCGTTACCATTCGACATGTGAAGGATAGACATACCCAAGTCGCATTGTCGCACCCAGGATCCAAAAAGTCTTGTCCCTGAGCCCTCGTGCATCTACCCAGGCTCAAAATCCTTCTGAATGAGGTAGGATAAGGCCGGATATCAATCTTGCGTGGCAGGCGAAATGTTCCCATCATGTTCATTTAACCTTGGAATAATACCGTGCTTCGGTAAGCCACAAATAGCCTGATGCTGTATATTTGAAAGCCGAACATGTGCACACATTGTTTTTTGAAGCAGGACCAGGGCTTGGAGAGCTGATTGACAGGGTGCTTTTAGCAAATGCTTTGCGAGTGGATTTTACTGGGGACTCGCCTTGTATGATCCACTGAAAACGGACGCTTCGTGAGGAATTGGCGATGCTCGTCTGTTTTAGACCTCTTCTCATGCTGAAGCCCTCTCACACCACTGATATCAATCGGATCCCGGTTCGAGCATATCGTTTTTGGACGAAATTGGATGGGTTACGTTCTGGCGCTCAGGTATGAGTATCTATAAGCAGAACAAGAGAGAACACTCACTCTTAACACCTTTGCGTCAAGCAATTTTAGGTTTGAGTGAACAATTTCGCTCTACCAGAGTGACGAGTCTGGATGTGATGCATGTGAATCGTGATGGGGCGAGAAGAACTGCACGTACACCCACGTGACATGTGAAGCCTCGGATTAGCGCCTGCCCCTGAATGTTCCGCTAACTTGAACTGAGGTCAAACTGAAGTCGCACCACAAACTCTTCAGATATTATTACAACAAAGTATTTACAGTATTTAAAGTATTTACTCGAAGTAGATATGGGCCGTGAAAAATCCAACTGGATTATCTTATTGCACTATCTACATCTCTAAACATAGCTTGATCAGCAGGTTCAACTCCCGAGAATCCAGACGAACCATGATACTACCTGACGATCGCAAGTGGGGTGTGGCTTGATATCATAGTTCTCCACGAGTTGCGGGAAAGGTATAAGCAAAGACTCAGAGCTTTGCGCGATGACGACACGAACCGCTGCTTGGCCACATGGTCAAAGCTCTGAATCTAAACAAATTGAATGCCAGCATACCTTACAGTTAGTATCCGAATGTCCGTACGTTACGGATGAATCGACTAGCGTCTTGAATGACGCGGGGTGCAGTCGGAGATGGACATTAGGTAGATTACCGGCGCTAACTGTTATGCCACTCCCGTCCAGGAGATGATCGATCTCCTCAAAGAAAGCTTTCAAGGCAACGCAACCCGGGTGTAGGCAAGAAAGGTGGCGTTGGCGCCATCTCTAAGCCCTCAAAGTTCGACCCCAGCGCTAGATTTCGTCGAACGAGGTCGGAGCCACTCTTAGGTCATACTACTTGCGTCACATATCACACGAAGTACATAGGAAGATCTTGCAACCTCCAAGTTCGTAGACGTCGGTACCGAGCTTCCGTGGTGAATTGTATTGGCATGGTAAATGTCCAGCGCTCAGTTGAACCGAATAATTTGAAGTTATCTGTATTCCCGCGGCTTGTAACTCGGATGTGCAAGACAGATGCAGTGCTCAGGCCCAACACTGTCTGAATGTGTGGAGCTATGGGCTTCCTTTCAGCCGGGAGCTCCAGCTGAGAATATTGACGTCCAGTTTGAGACAGTGGCGAACATTTGAAAGATGGAAGTAGCATTGCATCCGGAGAGAACGGTTTTCATGACGCCCACACGAAAGTGAAATTCTTCTCCGAGAATCCAAGAAGTAGGAAGCGCTTCAGGCATGGGTTGATAGATAACTGGAATGATGATGCCATGCCCTGACAGACTGGGGGTGCCGAAAATCGATGGGGCTGCCGAACAACTATTAACAACGTTTTTCTCAGTCGGAGCTCCGTGACGACAGCTAAGGGAGGGCGTCACCGTTGGTCTGAAGACCCAATGGGAATCATGTTCCACACCGGTCAGATCGCTACTGTACTGCTCCCGTTTGTTACGGGAACTTTTCACTTCCCTCGAGACCTCTAGAATGATTGGCCAAGGGCAAGAGTAGGAAATCAGAGAAGCAGCCAAAGGAAGCGAGCTCGAAACTGACCTCAGTATACCGGATCGATAAGGTCACCCCAATCCTTTTCGTTATCAATGCCCTTCGAGAAGCGTCGGACTCGATGTGATCCTGAAGCCACTGAGGGATCGGATGGTGGTAATGGAAGGAAAGAAATCTGATGTTTGACGCTTCTCGCGCAAGCAAGGTTTGGGCCTTGGCTCGCAGTGATAGGGCACATATGGCTGGACTTCGGTGATATGAAGCTGCTGAAGATTGCTATAGCGCCGAATGAAGATCAAGGACAGGGGTGCCGACCTAGCACCGCTGTAGTGGTACGCGTGATCAAACAACAAATGAGCAATGTTGCGGAAAGGAAAGGGACCTGAGGGTTGAACGTTGACTAACAGGGACGACACGTCATTGACAACAATGAGATGGCGAAGAGACGGACAAACTCCGCGGCGGCAATCCTTAGTAAATCTGCCTTGTCGCCCGAGGAAAAGTATCATGAGCTTGGAGGACCTGTACACTGCCCAAATATCCCTGTAGCAAGGAAGAAAAGAGAACGCCACACTAACGCCACACCAACGGACAACTGCAGACACTCGAGGCAAGATCTCTTTCATGAGGCGGTCAGCCTAGATTTAGCAAAAATAGCTGCACTATCAGAGCGAGCAAGGTAGGCTTTGAAAGACTGGAATGTCCATTCTCTGCACGATAATATCGAGACGGTCCGGGTCTCCCAGAGAGGTACGACTCCGGGCGACTCCGCCCGGACCGCCGGAGTTTCGCACCACGGTCTTCCAATTTGGATGACTGTCTGCAAGCAGCCAGAGTTTCACCTTCATTCATGGCTGCGGCAAAAACTAGGGTGGTCGACAGTGAATCTGGAGGAATTCTTCGGATGGGACCACGTAGTACACGCTGAGATCAGATAATCTGGTGCTTTTTGAGGACTTTGGAGAGGACAGCTTGTAAACGATGAAGAGGTTGTCTATGCTCCTGTCGAGCACGGATACAACACTGTCGATGTAAGGAATTTCTTTGAGGGAAGATGTGCGAACTGAACTTGTTTGAACCTGAAGCTCGTTGTTCATGGTGGTGGTCAGAAGTCAAGGCGATCACGCTATCGAAAAAACGACTCGGTATTGGAACTAGATTAATTGACGAGAGTGGGATTCGAACCCACGCCCTTTCGGACTGGATTTATCAATACCATGACCTGATTCCAGCGCCTCAGACCGCTCGGCCATCTCGCCATGCAGTCAGCCCCGCTTTTTACATACACATTGTGCGCATCAGCAAAGCCAGGTAACCCTTCGTAACGTCTGCCCCTTCGTCATCCGTTCCTCCATGGACCCTACCCCGACGACCCTCTTTGATGCTTACTACCAAGACTACGAGCATATCATCGAATCCGTTCGAAATAAACTAGAAAAGCAAGTACAAGAGCAACATGGAGGTACACAAGTCATTTCGTATACTGCCATTCGTGCTCACCGGTATTGTTTCACAGAACAACGAAAAGCAACTCTTCGCAAGGTCGAGATTGAGTTGGATGAGGCGGATGATATAGTGCGTTGGATTCGTTTTTTTTAGCTATTCACATTGCTGACAACCCTCAGATATCCCAAATTGAAATAGAGGTTCAAGGCATACCTGTCTCGATACGACCTCAATACGCTGCTCGTCTCAAACAGGCCAAAATCGACCTCAATCGGCTTAAAAGACTCGCCAAAGATACACATGCAAAGGCCTCCAGGGGCGACCTGTTGGGTGGTCGTTTCGGGGCATCCAGGTCGGATGACCCCTACCGAGACGAAGAGCAGAACGAGCGAACAAGGCTCCTGGCTGGAAACCAGACATTAGGGGATGGTCAGAGAAGGTTGGGAGATGCCACAAGGATTGCTTTGGAGACCGAAGCGTTAGGTGCGGATATCTTGAGGGATTTGGGTACGCAGAGAGAGACGATACAACATTCAAGGGATATGGTACGTCTGCATAGTTGGTATTATGTCACTTCCCTAGATATTTATACTCGACTGCTCCTAGCTCAACACAGCGGACACATCCCTTGACCGTGCATCAGGAACTATCAAGAAGATGATTCGAGAGTATGTTTCCGGCATCGAAGCACTCATTCATTATTGCTCACATGCTCCATAGGATGTACAAGCAGCGGTTCATGCTCAGCTTCCTCGCTCTCATCTTAGTGGTTGTTGTTGTTGTCATTCTGTACTTCAAGCTCGTACGCCACTAAGCTGGCTGTTGTCGACCCGGACTGGGCCAGGACTTTGTATGCTGGAACATTGGATCACTGATATCTTTGACATTTCCTTGTTACATATTTAAGTTGTACTTTACTGTAACTTCTATTCTATCTTTCATTGTTTGTTTATAATACAATCCTCTGTTTTCACTATACCTTTTGAAAGAGGCCCCTTTAACCAAAAAAGCACCACCCATATTGAGATTTACCACGCTCGTATCTCACCTCCTAACCATCACCTAGCTTTACTATGAACGACCGGTGCGCTTCTAACTAAGTCTCTCGGACTACCGTGACTGACTTTTTATCGATACATAGCCCAAGCAACGAATTCGACGATGTCATTGACCTCGAAGATTCAGATAACCTTTCAAGAGGATTACACGACCTACTTCGGTCAGGACAGGCCCCTTCTACCAACGAACTTCTCTATATTCACCGTATCCTACCCTCAATCGACGAGAGCGTAGCAAACCTCACGACAGAGATCCGTCGCCTGCAAGAGATCCTCTCCGCAGTGCTGAAGAAGCGCGAGGCAATCCTATCCCTAGGTGGATCCATTCGAAGGCTACCACCAGAAGTGCTCTCGACCATTCTCGTTTTCGCTGCAGCCATGAACGGTGGGGAACTCTTACAAGACAAGAAATGGAAATCGGCCGGATTGAAGCTAGGAGCGGTCTGTAGTCACTGGAGAAACGTGGTACTTGGAACTCCCAAGGTTTGGGATATCGTATCGCTCGGAGTCGACCAGCAGCCAGAATCTTCCGAGTTAAAGGAATGGGTGTATCATCGACTCGAGTCATACCTTTCTCGCTCTCGTGGTACATCTGTCTCACTGAAGCTCTTCGACCGGTTTGGATACTATTCTGTATGGATTACGGACAGGAACGAACAACTCGGTAGTTTGATGAAGGCACTCTTGCCTCGGGTGCGTCGACTCCAGTTGACTCACATCGTACCAGATGTTTTCCTCCGGTGCTACGCAGGGTTCTTGGATAATGTGCAGGTGCTTCAGATTCCTGGATATTCGACCTCGGTGGCCCCTATTGGCGGCGACGGACATCGACTTTTGAATGTCATCGGGCAAGCTGTTCCCAATCTTCGGCACCTGATATTCCAGGACTCGGTTTACTTTACACGCCCTGTCGAGGAAACGACGTTCGCCTTCCATAACATCACTAGCCTCATGTTTCGCTCTTACTATCGCCGCGAATTAGACACACTCCTAGCGGTCGTTCAGCGTTGCGAGAATCTCAATCAATTCCACCTCACGACACAAATGTCGGGAGGGAGTTGGTTCGCGATGAATAACGGCGGTACCTTTGGCGAAATATGTGTCCTCAACCAACCCAAACCCGCTCGATTTGAATTCTCAAAGTTATCACAGCTCGAGTTTTGTATCGAATACGGACGCGACTTCATAGAGGACTCCATCGACTGCTGTATCAGATTCTTCGATGGCTTCACCGCACCGTCGTTGACATCTCTTTCGATTGATGTCAAAGCCACGACGTATCTTTCGGGCGGTGCACCTGATAACCTTTGCGTCGCTATAGAAGAATTCATACAACGTTCAAACGGTTCTGGACTACACCACCTTCACCTCGACGCACTACTCCATGATCACCACCTCGCCTCCATCTTATCCAGGACTCCAGAGTTAAGGAAATTGGTGCTGTTAGGGGTAAGCAATGCGACACATGGTCCATATCTGTCTGGACAACAAGACAGAGCCCCGTGGCTTCCTTCTAGTAATGTTTACTCTTCGAGCTGGACGATAACCTTGGGATTACTGCAGAGGTTGACGTTATCGAATGGACATAGTGGTCGAGTGCAACCATCTGGTAAGGTCTTTCTACGATATACACCTTTAAACCTCTCATTCACTTTTGGTTCCAGGTTGCTCTCCTTTGGTTCCGAAATTGCGGGATCTTAGGTTTTCAATAGATCGTGCGTGGTCACCTGAACACATGTCCGCGTTCAAAGACATGCTGGAATCGAGGATGCCTATTCTGCGTTCTGCAGTGCTCAATGTAGCGGACTTCGTGAACGTTGGATTGCTCAAGGAGCTATGTAGGCTGCAGAGTGCGGGTTTGGCAGTGAGGGTGAAGGAGACTTTGAATGTTGGCGCAGGATACAATTCGATCCAGTCGCAGTTTGTCTTGGACTATGGAAGAGAACGCGGACCGAAGCTCGAAGATGACAAGACTACTTCATTGGCTCAGCTTGAAGGATGTGTACCCTTGTCCTTCGAGGATATTGCCCAGGACTACATAACGACTGAATCTTCGACATTTGATTGGGATTCTGTGTAGAAAGTTACTATGGAAGAAGCATGTTCTCCTTTTCGAGGCATTGATAAGTCGAGGATATGCAAACTCATCCCAACTGGGTTGAATGAACCGGATTGTTTCCTTTCAGCCTTGTTGACTTTGTACGTTGATGTTAGAGAGAGGTTCAGGCCCACAGCACAGAACGACTTATCTTCTGAAGTCAGGCTAGCCGGCTAGATCCGGGTGATGAGCGCTACATCTCATCACGTGAAATTTCTTTCCCTCCCACCATCATGATTCATGACGTTCTTTCAGTTCTGGCTCAAGCTCAAAGATCATATCGAGACTTTCGGGAGGTCCTGTTTATGCCAAATAGTATATCGGACTTGGTGAGCTTTTTTGGGCATTTCCACCGTATGCATTTTCTATTACATGTCCTCGTTGAACCCGTCCACTGGCACCTTGAACACACAAAATGTGACAACTTCTCCGTAAATTGTGGCACTGAATACACGAACGGAAAAATCCCTTATTCGACGGGCGGATGACGGCGCCATGGTAGAACTTAAAGCCAATTGGGCGGGTATCGTTCATTCAGTCCCGACATAGGTGAGTGCCAGAAACTTTCTCGTGGAGTCCTAGCTGAGAAAGTTTCTATGAACGATTAGCAGAGACTCTACAAAGCCGGACGCGTCATGGAAATGCAAAGCAAGGATTGATCCGCGCGGTAGAAGGTCGAAACTAATCGTTGGCAAGATTCTTAGGACACTGAGGGACACTGGTACTGTATCGTTATCCGGTGTTCCGAGTATGTACACCAGATTTCGTGACCAGCCTCGTCAAAGGGGAACAAAGAGAAAATGGAATTTAGATTGGAGGGCGCCGATCGCATTCGGAACGCTGTTAACGATGCTCCTCAAGCAGGATAGGTCACGGTTGTCCGAGAAACAGGCATGAAGTAAAGTGATGATCGAAGGACTTGGTAAGCAGTTGTTCTCGGGTGCTCGTGGCATAGCTAATGTTCGATGGCACGGCTTGTTTTGTGCTCTGGGATGTACAGATTCGGGCCTGAGCTATGCTTTACGTGTTCAAACCATTTACATCATTTACTCTTATTCCTTCAACGTCCGACGAACGTGCCATTGGGATCCATTACTTCAGCCCAACTTTAGCCTCACTTCTGGCCCTGCCGGTATCTTAATTTCAGTGACAGTCACATCACCAAAATAGCCAGACTCATATGTTCGCTCACAATGAAAATATGTGAACCTAAAACTCATGCCGAATCATGAGGATCACTTCCAAATATAAGGGAATATAAATCTCACCACTTGTCGTGAGGCTCACGACGGGAGATGAGCCTCACAACGAATATAATTGAATATAATTGAATCTGAGTCTTGGGTTACTATCTGAGGATCTTTATATAACATATTCACATGTTTTACGGGCTGAGAATTGGATTTGAACATACTTTAACATACTTTAACACATTTGATGTCTTCACTGAAAAGGAGGGCCCAAAACGAATTTCCTGCTCGAGGACTCGACGAGGAGAGCTGAAAAGGTCTAATTGCATCCGAGGACCGGTCTGTCCGGCATCAGTTACCCACGTGTATTTACTAAACTTGGCCTGTGACATGTCACACCTTGACGCGTCAGCTCTCTTTTGACATCCTCGAGCTCAACTTCAGTGCCTTCGCCATTGCAACTCTCC